GTTTTAAGATTTATGGGAATATCTGGAACTTGGTGCATTTTTCAGGTAGTGTTATGTTAATCTCCCCACCCCCAGTTGTAAATCTTTAGTGCTGAACATTTAACAAGAAATGTGGCTCTAGGCATTAGTTCCAATTTAAAATATTATCCAAAGGCTGTAAGTGCGTATTTACAAAGTTACCTGGTAAAGCCTTGGAAGAGAAGGTCTAATATAAAAATCTTACAATCTATGTTTAGTAAATGAAGAAAGCATGAAAGGAAGTAGCAAGTTGAAAGATAAGTAACCGAGGTAAAAAACTTCAAAACGCAAGTCATAGGTATACTATTTGGATTTAATGTAGTTCTGAATCTAGTGTCCATAAAAAAATTCTTCAGATATATTAGAACAGTAATTAAAATGGATTGAGTCAGTTTAAATATTTTAATAGTAAAATTAATAGCCATATTAATTTTATTTTAAAACTTAATTATTTAAAAACTTTAAACTTGGGGTCAGCAAATGGCATGGTGGTTAGGTTGCTGGATTCCCATATTGCCGACCATGGTTTGAGTCCTGGACACGGCAACTTGAAAATCATGCCAGGTGTGTGCAGGTGTCCAAAATCTCAAGAGAAGAATAAAAGAGAAGGGATTGTGGTGAGGTCACCTCCTCCCTCCCCCCCACCACCCCGGGGGAGATGATTTCTCACTTTGTCTCTCTCTGGCAAGTGCATGTGCCCTATGACAAAAACTTAAAAAAAAAATTTTATAAGCTTTTAGGCTTGCTAAATAAACAATTTACAGTTCCAGAAACAAAAATATACTTGTATATGTCACAGAAAAGTGTGAAATTACAGTCGGGTTACATTGTAAACTTGTGTACCTTTTATTCTGATTTCTTGTTTGATATAAAGTTCAGGCATTTATGGGGAGAAAAGGACTTTTTTTTCCATTTCCTCTAGAGAAGTGGGAAGAGTTAGTTGGTTGTGCCAAGGTAGTGCTAAGAGTGCTCAGATAGTTGTATACTATGAATTACAGTATAATGCCAAAAATGCAGAAAAATATTTCAGCTCTTAGTTACAAGTTTGATTATTTTGAAGCTCAACCTTTTGGTTTGCTATAATGTTTAAACCTCTAAGTAGGTGTTTGTTTCTCTAGAATATAT